ATTATGTATTATTTGAATTACTGTAGTGCTTAAGAGCCCCAATTGCGCACCAGGACCCCATTGTGGTAGGTGGTGTACAAAATGGCAGTCCTTGCCCCAAAGAGCTTCTAATATAAGTAGGATTCAAATCTGCACAGTGCTGAATCTATTGTGAGATGCTGGGCAGAATTTTTTTTTTTTCCCCTAAATCTCAATTTTTTCCAGGACAGGAAAAGTTTTCCCCATCCTAAATTGGAAGAGAAAGTCAAAAAAAAATCTCAAAAATGTTGGCAAACTGGAAAAAAATTCAGTTTGGGTCAATCAAAATGTTTCATTTTGATAATTATGAAACATTCCGGTTTGGTTTTAAGTTATTTTATTTTTTATTATAAATTATCTTAAATTTTAAAATAAAGGCATTTCAAACTGAAAAAAAAAATTACTTTGTTCTGACAATGCCATAATGAAGAGTTTGACAATTGGAAAACTTAAAAAAAAAATTGAAATGGGAAATTTGTCAAAACCAATCCTTTCTCGGTAAAAGTTTTGGTTTCAATGTACAGTATTTTTCAAACAGAAAAAGGTTTATCAAAAATTTCCTGACCAGCTCTAGTGCTGAGTACATTTACTTGAAATGTTTTTCAATGGGAGTTGAGGGACCAGTGCTGTTCAAAATATTCAGCGATGATCTGGAAAAAGGGGTAAACAGTGAGGTGACATGATTTGCAGACACAAAATTACTCAAGATAGTTAAGTCCAAAGCTGACTGCAAAGAGTTATAAACAGATCTCACAAAACTGGTTGACTGGGAAACAAAATGGCAGATGAAATTCAATTCAGATAAATGCAAAGAAATGCACACTGGAAAACAATCCCCAACACATACAAAATGATGGGGTCTAAATTAGCCGTCACCACTCTAGAAAATCTTAGACTCATTGTGGATAGTCCTGTAAAAACATCTGCTCAATGTGCAGCAGCAGTCAAAAAAGCTAACAGAATCCTAGGAACGAGATAGATTAGGAAGGGTTAGATAATAAAGACAGAAAGTATCATAATGCCATCATATAAATCCATGGTAAACCAACACCTTGAATACTGCATGCATTTCTGATTGCCCCATCTCAAAAAAGATATTAGAATTGGAAAGAATACAGAAAAGGACAACAAAAATGATAGTGGTATGGAACAGAGTCCGTATGAGAAGAAATTAAAAAGACTGGGACTGTTTAGTTTAGAAAAGAGATGACTGGAGGGGATATAATAGAGGTCTACAAAATCAAGAATGGTATGGAGAAAGTGGATAAGGAGGTGTTATTTACCTCTTCACATAACACAAGAACTAGGGGCCACCTAATGAAATTAATAGGCAGCAAGTTTAAAACAAGAATAAGGAAGTACTTTACATGAGGCACAGTCAAAACTGTGGAACTCATTGCCACAGGATATTGTGAAGGCCAAAAATATAACTGTGTTAAAAAAAATGATTAGATACATTCACAGAGGATAGGTCCATTAATGACTATTAGCCAAGATAGTCAGGGATACAATCCCATGCTCTAGGTGTCACTAAACTTCTCACTGCCAGAAGCTGGGACCGGATGACAGGGGATGGAGATTTTCTGATTGCAGAAAACTGAACACTCTTGCCCTGCCCCCAAGGCCCTGCCCCTAGCTCTTCTGTGAGCCCGACCCTCCGCTCACGCCATCCCCCGTCTTTTGGTTGCTCACTCTCCTCCACCCTCGCTCACTTGCTCTTTTTCACCGGGCTAGGGCAGGGGCTTGGAATGTGGGAGGGAGTGAGAGCTCCAGCTAGGGGTGCAGGCTCCGGGGTGGGGCCAGGGATAAGGAGTTTGGGGTGCAGGAAAGGGCTCCAGGCTGGCGCCGAGGGGTTTGGACCATGGGAGGGGATTGGGATGCAGGAGAGGGTGCGGAGCACGGGCTCTGGGAGGAAGTTTGGATGCGGGAGGAGGCTCAGGGCTCTGGGAGGAGGCTCAAGGCTGGGGGCAGGGGCTTAGGGTGTGGAAGGAGGTGAGGGCGCAGGCTCCCAGTGGCGCTTACCTCAGGTGGCTCCTGGGAAGCAATGGCATGTCCCTCCAGCTCCTAGGCACAGGGGCGGCCAGGGCCAGGGGGTCTCCATGTACTACCCCTGTCCGCAGGCACCGCCCCACAGCTCCCATTGGCCGCAGTTCCCAGCCAATGGGAGCTGTGCAGCTGGCGCTTGGGGCAGCCCCTGCACCACGGGCAGGGGCAGAGCGGGGAGCTGCCCCCCTGACCGCCCCTGCACCTAGTTGCCGGTGGGACATGCCAGCCGCTTCCGGGATCCAGATGCTGCAGCCAGCCGGACTTTTAGTGGCTTGGTCAGCTGTGCTGACTGTAGCCGCCAGGTTCCCTTTTCTACCAGACGTTGCGGTCAAAAACTGGATGCCTGGCAACCCTAGGGATGGATCACTCGATAAATTGCCCTGTTCTGTTCATTCCCTCTGAAGCATCTGGCAATGGCCACTGTCGGAAGACAGGATACTGGACTAGATGGAGCATTGCTCTAACCCAGTATGCCCATTCTTATTTTTTTATGTACTTGAGACCTTGCACAATCAGGCCTATAATGTCCTTTGCAATCTCTCATCATATATAAATTAAAGAGTAGTATTATTTAACCTGGAAAATGGAAGAGTTAGTGGGTTCCTATTTGAGGTGTAACTAGAGAGCAGTGTGGTTTTAGGATAATTTCATATAGGGCATCGAAAGTAGAAACAGTTTAACAATATTTCCAGTGTAAGAAAATTTACCATTCCACTTCTTTTAAGTTTTTATATAGCTGTTAAAATGCAGAACAAATGTGTGACTAAAATCATTTTAAACCTGTGGCTAGAAACTGAAAGGAACTGGATAGTCTCACAAGTCATGTATAGACGTGCTGTGGTGGAAATCCAAGATAAAAAAAAACTGACCTAGTCATCAGTGTTATCTCCAATAAAAGATGGCCTTTCAAGAAAGCAGCTTGAAACCTGACATGCTAGTCCATCCTGAATCCTGTTTTTGCTGTTCATTAATTTAGAGATGGATTAAGCATCTATTACTGAATGGCTCTCAACATTATGTGTAAAGTAACTTGAAAAATGATAATCCAAGCAGGCCTAATGTTTTAGGAGCAGACCCTCAGCACCAAAGCTATTCTCTTGCTGTAAATAAAGGCATGAAAATGGGCATCAATAAAATGACCCAAGCAATTCCTCTTTGGGAGTTCTGAGAACATCTACAGAGGATGTTATTTACTGGTGTGATACAGTTGGTGCCTTTTAGTAGTAGTTTGATAAATGTGCAATAAAGCCTGAGTCCTCATCCATAAAGGTTGAGGAGACTGTTGTAACTATTTTCACTGCAATCAAGGCAGTTGCAGCAAAACCATTTTATAAATAAACTGCATGCCAAAATCATTGTTATTGTATAAACAAAATAAACATTACATAATAAGATATATTTGGTATGCAGGGAATTCAGGCACTGTGTATTGTATTGCAAATAAACAGTGACAGTTAAACCAAAGCAACTTAGAACAGATCTTTTGGCGCAGGCAATTCAGCATTCAGTTTCTTCCAATAGTGTTCAGTATCAGATACTGAAGAGAAAAGTGACTTTTCCCTCTTTCCCCCACTCCAAAAAAACCCAAAACAAAATGTCAACAACCCCAATTCTGCATATGAGAAATTCCTTCCTAACCCCACATTCTCAAGTGATAAAAAAAAATCATGCCATGCTTTGAACCATGAAACGTGGTTACTCTCATCTCTTAGCTTGTGTAGCTGTAGGTGTTACTAATGGTCAAAATTATATAGCTCATTTAAAAATCCAGCCACAATGTTTGTTTCAGTGACCTCCTGTGAAGGAGGCTGACTCTGTTCTGCACAAAGCAGTGTTTCATTTGAATGCTTCAGAATTACTGCAGTGTAGTTTAATCTAAGTAAAAGTAAGGGGCAGCGGGGACAGAGAATATCACAAATCTGAAAACTGAAATTTTTCGTTTTCGAAGACTGAAATGAAAATTTCAACTTGAAACAAATTTTTCAAACAAAAATCTCGAATCAAAACAAATTCTCCAGTCAAAGTGTTTCATCTGAAATCTTCACAGGAACCAATTTCAAATTTGACTGGCTTTAGATACCAACAGGATAAGTGGAGGTTAGACAATAGGTCTTGTTCCCACTCATATGACTGAATTGATCACTAACTTTGGTGATGGTCTCGGCCATGGTACATTAGCAACAACCCTGGGCATCCATCCACCTTTCTGTAGGGCATGGAGCTATCTTCATCTCTGAGTGTACACCACAGACGCAAGTTCCTGGGTTTGCAGAGCTGACGTTGATGAACTTCAGTCCTGTCTACATTCCTCTGCTTAATCCACCCTGCCATGTGTGTGAATGGATTTCACAAAGTGCTATTTTCCCTTGCTTCTAAATTATGTTTATAGGCAACAATGACAAATCACAGAAACTAAACAATACTACCTGAAACATAAGAGTCATCCATGCTTATATATTAATTCATTCTAAAAAATTACGGTATATCTCCTCTAACTGGCAAAACACTTACCTCTCCGTAAAACCAGATAAAATTTACTTTCTTCCACCCTTTGTAAACTCTTAGGGGCAGCAATTATCTTTTACTATGTATGTATAGTGCCTAGAGAAATGTGGCTCTGATCTCGGTTGGTACCACCATAAACACAAATAATTAAATCAATCAGAGTGCCATTTCATGCAACTGAACAAAGTGTCAGGTGGACAGGGAATATGGAAATTAATATATAATTCATGTGCAGATTATCTGCTAGAATATGTTCTTAACCAGTTTTTGTTTTGGTTGTTTACTTAAGACTAAAGCAAGAGTGCAATTCTTCTAGTATTTTTATGATTATAACAAAGAAATACCATGCCATTAGTAAACTAACATTGTTTCCAAGGTTGGGTCATCAAATTTTAAGTTAAGGCACAATTATAAAAGCAAAATTAATATACCTGGAAAAGAACGTGTATAGTTGGTTCTTTCTGTTTCAAGTTTTCATTCAATCCTTGCTGCTTCTGTATAAGCGTCTCTGAAAATTTCTTCACCTGAAATTAGATTTACATTATGTAAGATTTCTTATGAAGATGGGTAAAGCAGTTGCATCAATTACTCATACATGCTAATGAAACTTATCTTAGTCTTAGACTACTATATTGTTCCAATATTTGGTATGCAAGTTAGCCTATATACGGTGTATGTATGCTTATGACAACCACGCAACCAAAACTATCTGGCATAAAAATACAATTGTAGTAACTACACAAGAATGAGGCACCTAAATTGCATGAGCATTTTTGAATACACAGTTCTATAAGCACAATTTTTCAAAACAGTCTAATATTTACATGTCCTCCAATTTAAATGGGATGTAATGATTCATTTATGAGCCACAAACAAAATAAAACTTAGTTTTCTCCAATTAATAGTAAGTCAACAAGCATAAAATATAGTATTTTAACAGCTTAAACTTTCTAAGTATCAAACCACAGTGAAATGTATATGGATAAAGATGAAACTTTAAACAAAAAAACCCGACTTTTTAAATCTTAATGTGCACATGCAACAAATTGGTTGCAAAAGAAAAAGTTTCATTGTCAAATGGGCAGAGAAATAAACTGTGTCACATATGTTGGGCCAATTAATGCTCCCCTATTCACATCCCATTACTCACATGAACAGGATTTTGCCAGTAATGGATATGCTCTATGGCCAAAGGTATATGGCAAGAGGTTTTGAATTTTGCCACTATGGTTCAAAGGGTTAAAATTAAAAACACTCCTGAATGGGAGTGGAGAGACAGGGAACATCATCTCTCCCTGTCCTATTCAAGTTGAAAATGGTTCGAGATGTTCAGATTATTATGTCTCATTAAAACACTGGAAAAATCTGGCGGGACTTTTGTACAGCAAGTGGAAGAAACTTAAGTACAAGAGAACGACAGTACAGCTGTATGAAAAGACAATCAGGAGGTATAGGTTGAACAAAGACAGACAGAGCACCTTTATAGTAATGTGAGGATGATGATAAGCTATTTTTCTTTAATTAAATGGATTACATATGATTAGTGGTCAATAAATGCCAAGAGATGTAAGGTATTTATGTCCAGGGGGGGGGGGGGGGGGCATTAGGACCCAGGAGGTATCTCCCCTCCACCCCCACTCCCCACACACATAGGCTTGGGAGAAAGCTGCAAAGAGGAACCAGCTAGGACTCAGTAGGAGCAAAAGTAGACAAAGAAGGGACCTTTGGAAATCTTTCTACAGTTCTGAGTGGACTTTCTCTACCTTGTGCTGATTGGCTATTTGCTCCAACCCTCCCTCTTCCCCCCCGTCTCTTCACCTCTGCATCACTCCTCTTACCCTTTCTTCCTCTTCCTTTCAATGTCCCCTCTTCCCTTCCCTGTTCTTTTCATTTATCTGATGCCCTCCTAACTAAACCCACCAAGAAAGAAAGAAATCATTGCACTAACATGACATTTGTGGTCAACCCATTGTTCACTCTGCTGGTGTGTTCTGCCCCTCACACACCGGGTCTGTCATGTCTATTTAGATTGTAAGCTCTTTAGGGCAGGGACTGTCTCCTACTCTGTGCACCAGCAGCCCCATTCTTGGTTGGCCTTTAGGCACTTTTGTAATAAACATGAAATTATCAATATTTTAAACTGGCTTGTACACAGTGAATACTAAAGTATTTTAGCAATGCATCCTCTAGTTAAATAACAGAGTAAAATTCATTGCTGCCTGCAGCCTCTATGTAGGCGTTTGAAAAATAAAATCCACCAACTCAAATCCATGGGTAGACAGTGAGGCTAGAGCACAGCCTCTCTGCAGCTACTACTTCAGCCTACAGGCTGGAATAGTAGCCACTGCCCCTCTGTATCTCTAATATAAGCAGTTTGGAAGGTGGTTTGGACCTCAAGTGTAGGGTTACCATACGTCCGTATTTTCCCGGACATGTCCGTCTTTTTTTCTTAAATCGCCGTCCGGGAGGAATTTTTAAATATCTAAAAACGTCTGGGAAAATACGGACGTATGGTAACCCCAAGTCCAAAGTCCCGGGGCTGGCAGCGCTTCCTGGGGCAGCTCCCGGCGCCCGCCCGCCAGCAGGAGCCTGCAGTGTGGGCGGACCCTAGGCACAGAGGCGGAGGGGGACTGCCCAATCAGAGCTGCGGGGACGGGGCTGGCAGGCACCGGCAGCGGGCAGAGAGTCCTCCGTCCCCATCCCAAAGAGCCAGAGGGACCTGCCGGATGCTTCCCGGGAGCTGCCCCAGGTAAGCACCGCCAGGACTCCCCACCTCGCCCCCCAGTAGGTCCCTCTAGCTCTTAGGGTTGGGTTGGGGGGGGGCGCGGAGGGCTCTCTGCGCGCTGCCGGCACCTGCAAGCCCCGCTCCGTGGCTCCGACAGCTCCCATTGGCGCTTTTACCAGCCAATGGGAGCCATGGACATCGCGCTTGTGGCGAGCGCAGCACGTGGAGATCCCTCAACTGCCCCTGATCCAAGGAGCCAGAGGGACCTGTGGCAGGAGGGGCGAGTAGGCGTGGAGGGGGAGGTGAAAAGGTGAACGGTGAACAGCGGGGGTTGAGTAGGTGAGGGGTAGGTGAGTAGGGCGGGGTGAAAAGGCCAGCAGCAGTTGAAGAGGCCAGCGGCAGGTGGGCGGGTGGGGGTGAGGAGGCAAGAAGCTGCAAACCAGTGGCGGGGGGGGGGGTGGGGGGGGGGGCAGGGGGGTTTCTAGCAGGGGAGTGAGGAGGTGAGTGGCAGGGGGTTGGGCTAGATGACCTCCTGAGGTCCCTTCCAACCCTGATATTCTATGAGGTGGGAGGAGGCGAGCAGTGAGTGGGGGATTGAGGAGGGATGCAGCAAGCCAGCGGCGGGCCAGGGGGTGAGGAGTGGTGTGGTGGCGGGGCCGAGTGGAGAGGGGGCGGGACCTGGGGCAGAGTGGGGGCGGAGCATGGGTGGACCGTGGGCGGGGCCGACAGCCCCCATGGAGTGTCCTTTTTTTGAATGTTCAAATATGATAACCCTACTCAAGTGGGAAAAATGGGAGGGGGGGGGAAGAATGCTGGAAAACGCTGAGAGACTCACTAAAGTCTGAGCACTCTCTACTCCCCATGATTTAAAAGATCTTGCAACAACACTCTAGATCCATGTACATTTATAAAAGATAGAAATGTACACACTGGCCCTAATCCTGCTCTCAGTAAAGTCAGCAGTAAATTTTCCATTGACTTTAACGGAAGCAAGAGGAAACACCATAACTATCTTCTTTAGAGTAATATCTAATGCCCCAATTAGAATCATAGAAGATTAGGGTTGGAAGAGCTCTCAGCAGGTCATCTAGTCCAATCCCCTGCTCAACGCAGGACCAACCCCAACTAAATCATCCCAGCCAGGGCTTTATCAAGCCAGGTCTTAAAAACCTTTAAGGATGGAAATTCCACCACTTCCCTAGGTAACCCATTCCAGTGCTTCACCACCCTCCTAGTGAAACAGAGTTTCCTAATATCCAACCTAGACCTCCCCCACTGCAACTTGAGACCATTGCTTCTTGTTCTGTCATCTGCCACCACTGAGAACAGCTGAGCTCCATCCTCTTTGGAACCCCACTTCAGGTAGCTGAAGGCGGATATCAAATCCCCCCCTCACTCTTCTCTTCTGCAGACTAAATAAGCCGAGTTCCCACAGCCTCTCCTCGTAATTCATGTGCCCCAGCCCCCTAATCATTTTCGTTGCCCTCCGCTGGACTCTGTCCAATTTGTCCACATCCCTTCTGTAGTGGAGGCACCAAAACTGGACGCAATACTCCAGGTGTGGCCTCACCAGTGTCGCATAGAGTAGAATAATTACTTCCCTCGATCTGCTGGCAATGCTCCTACTAATACAGCCCAATATGCCATTGGCCTTCTTGGCAATGAGGGCACACTGCTGACTCTCATCCTGCTTCTCATCCACTGTAATCCCTGGGTCCTTTTCTGCAGAACTGCTGCTTAGCCAGTCGGTCCCCAGCCTGTAGCATGGGATTCTTCCTTCCTAAATGTAGGACTCTGCACTTGTCCTTGTTGAACCTCATCAGATTTCTTTTGTCCCAGTCCTCCAATTTGTCTAGGTCACTCTGCACCCTATCCCTACCCTCCAGCGTATCTACCTCTCCCCCCAGTTTAGTGTCATCTGTGAACTTGCTGAGGGTGCAATTAATCCCATCATCCAGATCATTAATAAAGTTGTTGAACAAACCAGCCCCTGTAACCCCTACTCATGCTTAGTAATCCTGTTGGGTATGATGGGATTACTACCCTGCAGTATCTATCCATGATAAATAAGGGTTGTGGATCTGGGCCCTACAGTATACAGAATACCTTACAGGCTAAGTAGGTACATAGCATGCACTATACTATACCTAATACATTAACAGTTATGGAACAGAAGAAATTCCAGCCTAAGTAACAAGACTTCTGATGTTTTCCAGGTTCTTTAGTGGGATGTTCGCCAGACAATAACATTGAACTTTGTATACTCTAGGTGAAATTGTTCCATCCCCCTCCCTCATGGAACTTCTCAAATAAAGTGTGTATATTTCTACATATGTAGCTAAGTGCTAGAAAATGCAGTTTATTTCCCAGGAGAAACATTCTGAATATTTCCTCCCCTTGAAGTTTCAAGTCTTCTACAGACTTGGAGACAAACCAAAGAATCCCTTTCTGAACCACTGCATCTTTTAGTGTTGTAGCTTACAAGAAAAAGCACCCTCTTTAATACATTAATGGTTCCTCTTTTTATATATACATTCCACATACAGTTCCCATTTAATGTCACTGCAGGTGATTCTGATATATGCCAACTTGTATGAAAGTCTGAACAAAGAAAAACATATTTAGTAACACTATGCAACTACTGTAGTTAAATTGTTCACATATCAGAGAAAAGCTTTATCAATGTTTTTTATTTAAACAGTCTTTAAAAATAAACTTATAATAATAAACTGAAATAACAGTTCCAGGGCATGAGATATGTTTAGTGCCCTACCAAAT